GGGGTCTCTGTGAATCAACAGGGCGGAACAAGCAGGTATGGCTGATCCTCAGCCCTGCCCTAAGGGACCCCGCGTCTCAGTGTCCCGGTAATGGCTGCAAGCACCTCTGAGAGAAAGGCGCCCTCGAGTTCTGAGTTCTGCCCCCTGCCAGATAGTCCAGTTTCTCCCTGTATGAGTCTGGGTCCCTAGAGACTCACCCGGAACTGGAGTTCAGAGCAGTCGGGGGCTTGTGACTCCCTCCCGATTCAAAAAGATAGCTTCGTCCTCAGTTGCCAGCCCTTGCTGCCTCCGCCTCCGTACCTCTGCACTTCCGCAGCTCCTCTGAGTCTCAGTGTGCTTTTCTCTTTCCTTCTAGTTGTAGAATTTCCACGCAGCCAGCCTTCCTGTGGTTCTGGATGATGTGCATTTTGTCTTTTAGTTGTATTCTTGAATTTGTTGTGGGAGGCAGCAATTTCCGGTGTTTACCTATGCTGCCATCTTGGTTTCTCCTCAACCAAATTTTTAATATGAAAAAGTTTAAACTCAAATGGTATCTTTTATAATAATTATAAAAAGTAATATAATCTTTAGGAGAAAAAAAATATATATATATGTATGTATATATATGGTGGTCTTTCCAAGTTAAATTTCAAGGTTTTAACCGAGAAATCACTTTTGGAGTATTCTAAGGATCCTGGAGTGATTCAAAGAATTTATTCTCTCTTCTTAAAAGAAATCATTTTTGAAATAGGCTGATCCAATATACTTAAAATCATGTGGAAAGATTTATCAAATAAAAATTAATAGCTATATTTTATTTATATACATATATTTTAAATGTTATAAAGGTTTTAAACTCTAAGGGAGGGCAAGGCAAAGTTGCTAAGTGTTTCTTCAGCATCGGAATTTTAAAAAAACAAAAGCAACGGAATTTTAAAAAACAAAAGCCTCAGGCAGCCTGCATTTTAGATAGGCTGGGGGAAGGGATGGAGTTTGTACTTCCTAGATCAAATGTATAAGTTTGCTTACTTTACTTTTTCAATAGAGATGCCTACTTTAATTACTGAATAAGTTAGCTTTTTAAAATATAAACACAGTCTCATATAATTTCAGTTATATGAGAAGCCAAAATGTGAAACAATTCTAATAGAGTCCTCTGAAAATTACTGAGACTTCCCATAATCCCTGTGTATGCAAATGAGTGCTGCCAAAAAGAATACTGTTTAAAAGTAAATTTTAAGCTTAATAAAGAGGAGAAATTTAAAAATTTTAAGATCTCTTCTGCTAATATTTACAGGGTAAACTGAAGGTTATTATTCAAGCATTAAATCTCATACGTAATGTAGTCAACTATAAAGACAATCACTTAAAAAGTAGGCAGCAGTATCAGCCAGCATATGAAAAGCAACCATGTTTGTTGCTTGGTGTAAAAGAAAGAAAAAGTTTTTAAAAGAAACTCCCTAAATATGGCCTAGAAATTACTCTAGGAAATGGAAGAAAACTTCCTTCAAATGTCTGGAAAGTTGTAATTAAGAATCAATGTGTTAAGCCTCAAAAAGAAAAGTAAGTAATTTATGTTCTTGCCTCCCTAACAAAGCTTATTATAGGGTATACTCAAAGACTGATATCGGAAGTTCAGTTAGTGTCATTTACTGTCCACAGCGAAGCACAAATGAAGTTAAATAATAAGCCTTATTTCAGACTAATTTAAATTGGCAAATTAAAATAAGTGAATATTCCAGAGAACTTAGTTGTACTAGGCAGGAAACTATTCTTGAAGCATTAACTAATTTTTTACTGATGGTTCATCTCATAGTAAAGCTGTTTATCATGCAATGAATTTAGACCAGTCATACTTCTGTGCTAACAACTGAATTAAAAGCTAACAAGATTGCATTGCAAGATTTCCAAAAGCCTCTTAATAATATTTAAAACAAAAAAAGTGGGGGTAGTGGAGAAATATCCTGTACATAAATTACATCAAGCCTTAATGACTTTAAAGTTTTTTACTTTAAAAACTAGAGGCCCGGTGCACAAAAATTTGTGCACTCGGGGGGAGGGGGGTCCCTCAGCCCGGCCTGTGCCCTCTAGCAGTCTGGGAGATAACGCCCTGCTGGCTTAGGCCTGCTCCCGGGTGGCAGAGGGCAGGCCCAATCCCTAGGTGCAGCCCCTGGTTGGGCTCAGAGCAGGGCCGTTTGGGGAGTTGGGGCACCACACCCTGTCATGCACAGAGCAGGGTGGATCAGGGGGGTGGGGCACTGCCCTCTATCACCCCCAGAGCAGGGCCGATAGGG